GAAGGGGCCGGATTTAGGATGTGGAGTGTTTTTTCAAAAAGGCGAGCGAAGCGAGCCTGAAAGAATTTCATAACTTTCATTTCGGCGTAAAATTGCGAGCGAAGCGAGAATTAAAGAATTTCATAACTTTCATTACGCCGGCTGTTTAGGACTAACCATACCATCCTAAATCAGTACTTTCGGTTCGTCAATGGACGAACCGAAGATTGAGAAAATTAGGCTTAGGCTCAGGCGCAGGCGTAGCCTGCGGCATTTGGGGTTAGGGAAAAATATCATCGTCTCCGATTTTGTCCAAAGCGGTCCAAAAATTTCTGGGATCATTTAATTAGGCTAGCGCAGAATTCCTGCCGCCTACGAAATTACCGTAGTCGAGTTATAAGCCAAACTACAAAAACTACAAAAATTTGTAAATTGAATAACTTCCGTCAACGTTAACGGATCGAACTGAAACTTGGTCAACATTATTTTTATAAAAGACATTATCGATTAAAAAAATCGATTATCGATTGATTATTGATTAAAAGGAGAAAAACTTCCGACCTCAAAAAAAACTGTTAACACAAGTGGAACGAAATTTTGCATATCGATCACACTTAAGACGTACTATACAATATCATAATCGTATAAAATAAATTCACTTTTGACCAAAGTTATAGGGTCGTGAAAATCGAAATTTCAAAAATCGATAAAAAATCAATAAATCAATAAATAAATAATGTCAATCGATGATACTTATGTGGCCAAATCGATTGAACGTAAGAAAAAGGCCGTCAGATGCAAACTCGAATTATGGTGCATCTGTGAAAAGTCAAAAAAAATCGATCGCTGGTTCTAGAAAAGTTTTTGATAACTTTTTGTTAAAGTTCGCATATAGCACAAACATAAGAAGATATTAACAGCGCACATGGTCTCGTTAGGTTTTATATGGCCAATTTTTAGAAAATCGATATTGACTGAGATCGAAAATTTTCAAACTCATCTATAATTTACGAAACCACTTGCAATTTGTTTGTCGTGTCAAACGAAGTTGATACACATACATATTGTTAAGGTTTATTTCAAGCCGAAGCTAAAAAAATTTTCAAATTTTGAATTTTTAAGGCCAAATGTTGGACACTAAAATGACCATAAAATTTTTGTATCAACTTATTTTGAAAAACTAATTTGTGCATCGTATTTATCTCGTCGAGACGGATCGAATGGTATATAGTATGATGTAGTTTGAATGATTTTGAATTTTTGTTCTAGAAGGTTCTAGAACTTTCGAGAAATTTTGAAAAAAAAATCAAGAAATTTCTTCTAGAAGGTCTTAGAAGGTTCTAGAAAATTTTAATTTTGGCGGGAAATTCAACTTTTTCAAATTTTTGGCGGGATATTCAAATTTTCAAATTTTTGGCGGGATATTCAAATTTTCAAATTTTTGGCGGGAGATTCAAAAATTCAAAATGTTAAACTTCGATTGCGTTTACGGTGACGCTGAGCGAAGCGAAGCGTCACCGTAAAGGTCACAAAAATAGAACCTCTCTCTCTTCTTCTCTTTTTCTATTCTTTTAGTTTCACAAGTGAAATTCTTTTAGTTTCACAAGTGAAACTAAAAGGTAATTTGGGGTTAGGTTCCCTAATCTATGAAAATCGCTCGCAAATAAAATTCTTCGAATCGTCTAATGTAAAAAAAAGGAAAAAATTCCTCGAATTAATGACTGACAAAAATTAGCTCGCTTCGCTCGCAAATAAAATACCTCGAATTTTCTAATGTAAAAAAAAAGGAAAAAAAAATTCCTCGAATTTATGACTGTCAAAAAACAGCTTGCTCTGCTCGCAATTTTTCGAGTAGCTTGATTTTCAGTGCTTCCCAAATTCTGCGAGCTCATAAACTTTGAAAAAAAAACAGAATCTTTCGAAACAAAAAAATTTGGAGAAAGCTAGGCTACAGAAGATTGCGTTTGATTTGAGGAAAAAAGAAAACGGTTTTTGAGCCAATGTCGGAGGCGCGTAGCGCCTTCAACAATGGATCATAAAAACGTTTTCTTTTTTCATCAAATCGAAGGTCACAAAAATAGCTGATAGATCACAGTACGAAATCTAACAAATGCTTAGGCTTAGGCATAGGAAGCCTGGGTCAATGACCATACTTAAGGAAGGCTTAAGGATTTGGCCGCTATCCAAAATTTTAGCAGCTAATCGCAACATCCCTACATCCCAACATATATCTCAACATCAAGGAGCACAATAAGCCAGTAATCCCTCAAAATAAGATACGCATTGCGAAAATATGTTGTTTAAAACTTTGGCCGACGGCCAAAATCGTAATCAGAAAGGTATTCAAGAATTATGTAATCCCAAAACCCGTATAATTCCAAATTCCACAATCGTGAAAATTGGGATATTTACCACCAAAATGAGGTACATAGCACTTAGCCGGACAAACAAAGTTAACTTCCAGAAACGACCAGAGCCAGAGGTTTCAATTTGATTTTTTTGGCCGACCGCGACACTTAGGCTACACGGGCACTCGACGTTCACTTTGAATTTGGAACATTATTGCCGGACACTTTGAATTTAACTGTTTTTGAAACATGATTAATTTTTGAATTTTTGAATTTTACCGCCAAATATTTTGAATTTGAAAATAAAGTATATTTTTGATTTGAATTTTGAAAATTGAATTTTGAAATTCAAAATTCCCGCCAATAATTTTTTCTTCACGAGACCCATATTCTTCTCGAGACCCATAATATAATAATTTGGAACATTTTACGCCAATCTGCTCATTTTTTCATTATTTCGACCTGCTGGATGGTGACCCTCTCGGGAGCTCTCGCCGTCTTCGTTTTTTTTTAAATTCAAATCAGTTTTTTTCAAATTTGAATTTTGAAAATTTGAAATTCAAAGTTCCCGCCAACTCTGCTACGAAAATAATTGCGGGTCTGTTACGAATATCTCGTCTATGTGACCACACTTAACTATGTTATTTGAATTCGTACTCAAATTTGACCGTTAGCCAAATTTCTTCCTAAGACCCATAATAAGCCTAAGATACGCGTTGCGAAAATATGTTGTTTAACATATTGTTTAACATATTGTTTGGAATTCTGGAATATTTGGCCGACGGCCAAAATAGGTGAATTTTTGATTTTTGGTATGTTTGGCCGACGGTCAATATTAATAAGTTTTAGAATATTGAAAAAATTGGCCATGGGCCAAAAATGATGAATTTTGTAATTTTCAAAAATTTGGCGGCGCTATGTTGGTTGGAAGGGGCCACTATTATTTGAATTTTTTGGCATTTTCAGACTTGCGCATTAATTCTAAGCATGTTAGAAATATTTTTGAGGTGTCTGGACCTCCATAAAGTATAAAATAATATAATAAAATACAAATTCCTGTTCTTTGCTTCTTTATTTATTTATTTTTTTTGCTTAGGCTAAAACGCCGCGGCACTTGAAATATGAATATTTGGAACTTTTATACCGATTCTCGGGTAAGTTTTTCAGAAGCAAAGCATTCTCAATCAGCATTTTTGATGTGATTTGCATTTCTCACCTATTTTGGCTTTTGTGAGTTGGGGCACCCAAATTTTTTGAATTTGGCGCCAAAATGCGTGTGTCCCAGAGAAAGGAGAACAAGGCGTTTTTGCCTAAGCCTATAATTTTAAACAAAAATCCAACATTTTTAAAAAAATTCAGCCAAAATGTGCGATTTTCACTGATTTTCGCCAATTTCAGTACTTTTCTGGTTGAAATTTTTTTCAGATTTTTTCGTTTTTTTTTTAAATTATAGGCTTAGGCACAAACCCCTTTTTTTCTTTCCACTGGGACATCCGGGGGGAGGTGGTGTCTCTACTTAAGTTCAAGAAAAAAGTAAGACCATGTTCCAGTTCCTATATAATTCTACTTTTCAGTAGTCGAACTAAATTGGTTGGCAGGATCAATATCGAAACATATGGCATCACAATATAGAGCTCGTCAATCCAAAAAATCGTCTGGTCTACGCTGGAAGGAAGGCAAAATACAAGTAACCTGCGGAAACTGTTAATATAAGAAGTAGTGAATTTCAAAATTTTTAGTTTTCATCGCAAAACACTTCGATTTCCAAAATTTCTGTGAAGTTTCAGTAATTTTGCATTTTCTTTGCAGAGCGAAAAAAAGCGTGTTTTTTCACATAATAAACGATCAGACTGTGCAACTGGTATTTTCTGACTTTTTTTCAAGGTTCGATTATTTCTGTTTTCAACTTTTCATACTTTCTATTTTATACGTATTATAATCATTTATTAAAAATACAAATGGTTCACAGAAATATAACGTTTCAATTTCTGGGATTTTTCCCAGAATTCGAACGGTTCGAGTTCTGGGATTCCAAAAAAAGAGAAACGAATGTGGAAAAAGGGGGCATAAAAATTATAATGATGGGAGATAAAAACAAAAGAAACATGAAGAAGTGTGCTAGTTTTCCATTATCATGTCATCCGCAACAACTGGATTCGGTGGCATTCTTCCAGCATTGAATCCTTGAGATTTCAAATATTGTAGAATCGTCGTGTGTTCAGTGTCAAAATCAATGTTTCCGTGAGATATCGTGGTAGATGATGATTTTTCTTTGATAAGTTGCAACGTTCTTAGATAAGCTGCAAAACCAAAGATAATTCAAGTATTCAACTTTACGTACATTTCTTTCCATAGCTGGAAACTGAATCTTCAAAATTGTCCTTGTTGTTTTGCGAGAACATTGATCCTCCATGTTTGAAGAGACTCAATATGAACTCACAACTTTCCAATTCTTTTTTTTTCAGGAAGCTTTTGTCAATAATAACAGCCATCCGTGATTTATTCAATGCCCTCGGCAATGTATTCATAGGACAAACCGTAGAAAATATTACTTTATCTTTTATCTTGCTTTTGAACAGCATGTCTATATTATATTAGAAAAAATCTGTAGAACAGAGGAATTCTAGAACAACAGAAACCAATCAACAAAAAATCCAATCAGCTCTTGGCACGTATCTCGATACGTGTAATCTAACATCTATGTCGCGTGTGAATATATATATATGTTGCGTGTGAATTTAGACAAGTAAAAACTGGATCATTCAGGATACCTATGATCCATCAACATTCCAACCTGACATTCGCCGTCCATGTATTGAAGGTGTTCAGGAGAAATGCTTGGCTCTCTTCAAACATGGAGAATCAATGTTCTCGCAAAACAACTAGGACAATTTTTGAAGATTCAGTTTCCAGCTATGGAAAGAAATGTACGTAAAGTTGAATACTTGAATTATCTTTGGTTTTGCAGCTTATCTAAGAACGTTGCAACTTATCAAAGAAAAATCATCATCTACCACGCCATCTCACGGAAACATTGATTTTGACACTGAACACACGACGATTCTACAATATTTGAAATCTCAAGGATTCAATGCTGGAAGAATGCCACCGAATCCAGTTGTTGCGGATGACATGATAATGGAAAACTAGCACACTTCTTCATGTTTCTTTTGTTTTTATCTCCCATCATTATAATTTTTATGCCCCCTTTTTCCACATTCGTTTCTCTTTTTTTGGAATCCCAGAACTCGAACCGTTCGAATTCTGTGAATCACGTGAATATCCCCAAAATCCCAGAACTCGAACCGTTCGAATTTTGTGAATCACGTGAATATCCCCAAAATCCCAGAACTCGAACCGTTCGAATTCTGTGAATCACGTGAATATCCCCAAAATCCCAGAACTCGAACCGTTCGAATTCTGTGAATCACGTGAATATCCCCAAAATCCCAGAACTCGAACCGTTCGAATTCTGGGAAAAATCCCAGAAATTGAAACGTTATATTTCTGTGAACCACGTAAAGTTTTGCAAAAATTGAAGTGTTCCTTTTCTGAAAGCCAACTAAAAACCATAAAAATTAAAAAACTGAAAATCAGCAAAAATAATGTAATTAATACCATATTTTCCGGGGTTTCGTGGAAATAAAATATTTTTGATAAAGAGCCCAGCGATTATGCTATTTATCAGAAGTTGAAATTTTTTTGGGATAAATTACAGAAATTTGATTCATTTTTGATTTTTCCTCCGAGAATTGAAAGTTTTGAAATTCGCTACTTCTTATATTGTCAAATTAAATTAATGTCTGTTGCAAAAAAAAAACAATTGTGTCTGCAGAAATGATGACAAATAAAAGTATTGTGAAATTACGACTTTGAATAATTCTGACAGATATGACAAAATATAGAAATTATTGAAGAAATTAAAAAAATTGTAATCATCACATCGATGATCACCGTGGAGATGTCAAGGCTTCATATTCAGACAACCGACAAGGTGCTCCATCGAATGATCCTGACTTGATCGGTTTGGCACTCCATCAGCTCGGTTTTTCCATATTCTTCAGCTTCATATTCATGTTCAAATTTCGGTGGCTGAAAAAAAGAAACGAACATTTTTCTGAAATCCACTCAAATTTATTTTCAAATTACTTGAAGCAGAGAAGAAACTGAACGAAAAATTAATTTAAAAATTAAATGTATGTCTTTTTCAGCAGATTTTGGATAACTTTAGGCTAATTTCGAATGTTAATTTGAAATATTGTAGGCCGGTTTCGATCCATTTAAGGTCCATTCTTCAAAGTCAATCAGATTTTCAGATAAGGTTCAAACCAATAACTTACTTCCGATGACGTCATTGGTTTGCTATAGTACGCGGATAACGTCGTTGGCTCGTCTTCATATGGTACTGCTGGAAATTATAAATTTGAGAAAATTTTCAGATTAAAACTTCTGTATGTTTTCATTTATTTTTGTTCTGCTATGGAATTTTGGCCTTTTACATTCAGAATATGTTGCTCATTAGAAAAAAAAAGTTAGTCTTTAAAAAAATTTGGTGCTTAAAAAATTTTTCTAAGGACATTTGGGATTTTATAGTAGAGTCGATTTCTCTTACCAAGTTCTTATTGATGATCCAGAGGAAGTCGGTTGTATTTTTGAAGCCAGAGGAAAACCTTTTTCTCAATTTCATCAACTGTTGCTTGGTCGGGCTCCTAGGGGTGATACGTCGATTTGAAATAAGTTTGATTTTATCTGGATAAAATAGTTTCTGTGATCGAAAACACAATTTCGTAACAAGTCAAAACAGACATCATGGCATACATTTTTATTTCATGAAAATTTTCAAACAATTAATTGTGTTAATGTCCCATACGTCTTTGAGCAAGTATATTCCACTCTTGAAACTTTTGTTGAAGCTCAGTTTCTATAACGATAAATACATCGGAATTCAATAAAAATCAATGAAAAGACCGGTGGAAAATCAGAAACCAGCCATGAAGGGGAGTAAATATGGAGTGAATAGGGAATAAATAGATAGATAGTGAGTAGATATTCTTAAAAATAAAAATAAAAAGGCCTGTGGAAAATCAGATACTAGCCATTGGAATAGAGTAAAATGACGCAAAAAGTCACATTTTGCTGTGGTGGGGGTTGAAAAAGAAATAGTGCACGCAGAGAAATAGAAACACAGTCTGAAGAAATAGCATGGAACAGGCTGAAGACGCAGAAATATCGTGGAAGAGTTGATGTCATCCAACGTTTCTG